CGCTGGAGTATGGTGAGCAGGACGCTGTTGCCCCACTGTCATCTGAGGGCAACCACAGCGACGACCTCGATCTCTGCGAGGCCGTCCACTATCACTTGGAGGACTCTACCCTCCCTGCAGCTGAGTGCCTTCAGCTCGCGCTCTCTGCCCTCTCTCGGGCACGCAACCGCCCTGGTCACGCTGGCGCATCGCCCCCCGAGGTCCCTCAGGAGGACCTCCCTCAGGGCTTCGTCCCTTCTCGTGGTGTCCTTTCCCCTGAGGAGCGCGGCTATTCTGGGCCGGCGTGCTTGTTTGCGCTGCCCCTTGGACGGTCATACCTCCTCGCGGTGCCCTTACACTACCGCCCTCAACCGCCACTACGCTGACCTTTCTCGTCAGCGTCGTGCTCAGTCCCCCCCGGGCGCCTCACGTCCCCGCGGCGCCTCCTAGCCACGGTGCAGTGTACACCTGCGCCCTCCTCAGTAGTGGGTTTCCCGACATCTCCATCGCGGTTCGCCCCTCTCGCTACTGGAGTTGAGGTATCGCAAGACTCGACAGAGTGTACTCAGCCCTCTGTCGCAGTACCGTCTGCGCCTCCGCAGACCACCGTCTCCCCTCCTTCCCCGACGCGACTACCGACGCGTCGAGCCATTCGCTTAGCCAGTTGCAGCGAGCAGCTTGCTACTCGCGAGGACGTTGTGTCCTCTCTTCTGGACTTGAGCATGCTCCAGGCTCGTCAGGAGCGACTCACCCTCCATGTCGTTGCACTGCGTCGCCTTCTCGCCATCCTCTCTGACCCTGATCGCACCCTCCCGATCATCCCTGTACGACTCGGGACCCCCACAAGGGTGTACTCAGTGCTGTGGGATTCCGGTTCTCAGGGCGACTTCATTCACCCACGCGTGGTGAAGGAAGCCTGCTTACCCACGACAGGGTCTCCGACTCCCATCTCCGTTACCCTAGGGGATGACAAGACCCAGCACTTCTTCGATCAGACGGTCACCGACCTCCCCTTCTTCCTCACTCTCGAGCCGACATAGCGTTCCTCGGCGTCTCGTCGCCACCGCTCCTCTGCACGTTTCGATGTGAAGGAGACGGGGTACGACTTCATTCTYGGCACTCCGTGGTCTCGTCGGYTCCGCAGCACCGAGGCCGATTGGGCGACCAACACTCTCGTTCTCAAAACGAAGTGTGGACAGACGTATCGCGTACCTTTCATAGGTACCACGRCGACACCACGCCCYGATMCTCCTCCCCCGKAGCCTTCAGTGCCCACACCATCTCCCTCTATCACTGTCAYCTCRCCTCTGCAGTTCGCTCACTTCATTCGACAGGACGACGTCACCTTCTTTATGGTGGACGTGACGGATCTCTTACACTATGATCCACCCTGTCCCGACGCCGAGCTCATCCCTCTGGAGCCAGATCCTCCCTCTATCTCCATGGCTCCCATCTCTACTTCCGTCCCTCCGCCGTCCGTCAAGTCCACCCCGCCGTCGCGCGCTGACGCTGACACTGAGGAACTCGCACGATATACGGCTGACTTGGAGCCCGCAGTTCGTGACCTCATCCGAGAGTACCACGACATTTTCCCATCGTCGTTCTCGTACGCCGGCATCCCACCGATGCGTGACGTCGAGCACTCCATTCAGCTTGTGCCTGACTATCGTGTTCACCACCAGACACCCTACAGACTCTCTATCCCCGAGGCCACCGAACTCAAGCATCAACTTGAGGAGCTCCTGAGACTGGGTTTCATTAAACCCAGCAACTCCCCGTGGGGTGCACCCGTCCTCTTTGCTCGGAAAGCGGATGGAACTCTTCGTCTCTGCATCAACTACCGCGGCCTCAACCGCTACACGATTAAGAACAGCTACCCCATGCCTCGTTCCGATGAGCTGTTCGACCGCCTAGCAGGCAACCGCTTCCTTAGGAAGATTGATCTTCGTAGCGGTTACCATCAGATCCGCGTCGCTGCAGCCGACCAACCGAAGACCGCATTCCGATCGCGATTCGGCCACTACGAGTTCACGGTAATGCCATTCAGCCTCACCAACGCACCCGCTACCTTCCAGAGGGCGATGAACGACATCTTCAGGGACATCCTGGAGCAGTACGTTCTCGTCTACCTCGACGATATCCTGGTCTATAGTCGTACTCTTGAGGAGCACCTCAAACACCTCCGCGACGTCCTTGACCGCTTGCGCAAACATGGTTTCTACGCCAAGCTAAGTAAGTGCCGCTTTGCCCAACACAAAGTGGATTTCTTAGGACACTACGTGTCTGACCAGGGTCTCCACATGGACGACGCGAAGATGACTGCTATTGCGGAGTGGCCCGCTCCCACATCCGCCAAGCAGCTTCGCAGCTTCCTAGGCCTAACCAGCTACTATAGTAACTTCATCCGGGGATACGCTAGGTATTCCTACGTCCTTACCTCCACCCTCCTCCGGAAGAACCCACCCTGGGCTTGGACACCCCTCCACGAGGACGCCTTCCGCGCCCTCAAGAACGCGGTGACATGCGCACCGGTTCTTCACCTACCCGATTTTGACCGCCCTTTTATCCTTACCACCGATGCGTCAGATTTCGCTGTAGGAGCAGTGCTTTCTCAGGCCTTCCCCTCATCTCCTGATTCCTCTCATCCTCGTATCCCTCGCTTCCCACCACCTACCCCTACCACTGCTT